CGCATCTGTCTAGGATCCGTCTGTCCGGGAGGTGTCTGTCCAGGATCTGTCTGTCTCGGAAGGCGCCTGTCCAGGACTCATCGTCCAGATGTCCAGCAGACTAGAGCTGAGGAGAGAGCCAACGGCTGCAGCATCACTGTCACAGGAGCTGGCCTGGTGGGACAGCAGTACCAGGAAGGTTCTCCTTGCATCAAGCAGGTTTGCAGGCTCCCCAAATCAGGGGCAAGATTCGAATCCAGGTCTCTCCCACCTCCAATTGCAATGCTGTCCACTGCCTGCTCTGTCTTCCTTAGCTGCACCCCGCCCTGAGTCTTCTGTGGACTCTTGGAGCCTCCCCCCAACCTCTATCATGTCCATGCCTGTGTGTCCTGGCCACTTTCAGAAATGAAACAGATCCTCCACGTGGAGCCTGACGGGGAGAGCGTGGCAGCAACCATTGATGCCCCCAAAGCTGACGGGATAACTGCAGGAAAAGAAAAGGCAACGGGGGAGAGCCCCCAGGGGCCACCCCGGTGGAGGCAGCAGGCCGTGTGGGCAGGGGCTGAGCAGGTGCCATAGGGTGCCAGACAGCCGCGAGCCAGGAGAGCTGTGAGCCTTGTGTCTGCGTCGTGTCCACCGAGGGCGTGATGACCTGACCCTTGGCTCCTGTGTGTCGTGTGCGAGGTTGTCATGCCTCGCTGACAGATGTCTGAGCTGAACATCTGTGAGAGCAGAGGGAAGGAAAGGGCTGTCCTCGTGGGAGAGCCTTGCAGGTGGCCGTCACTCTGGAGTGCCTGTGAATGATGGTGTGTGATCCTTGGAAAAGACAGGAGGGAGGAAGAGGATGTGTCTGAGGCTGCAGGGGCCATCGGGCCGATGCTCTCGACCACCTCGATGTCCATCTTCTAGTCTGGGGACGTCACCTGCCGGGGTGACCCGTGGAAACTTGAGGCGGGGTCTCCAAAGTGCCACCAGGGTTGTTGGGTGCTGGCTGGAAAGTCGAGAGGTCAGGAGGGAGGCAGATTTGGGAAGTGCCCAGTTACCTAAAGAGAGAGGGCACAGATTTTGGATGGGAAGGTGGGCCTTCTAATGATGGAATGTTGAGAGAACCCAGCAGCTCCTGGGAGAAGTAGGCCCAGCTGAGGAGGAGGAGGGTTTGAGGGGCAGCCCCTAGGTTCACGTGTCTGATCAGGTAGCAAGATCGATTTGAGCACTGCGGGGTACATTTGGCCTCAGAAGTACCATGGAGGCCAGATGGATCAGGACTCCTGACTGGAAGGGTTCCAGAAGAGTAGCCCATATCTAGATAAAGGTTGAGGTTCCATGTTTTTGTCTATTAAGAAATCAGAAGTCTGTGAAGAAAACCAGATGGCTTTGGCCGCCAATTAGCTCCAGAAGGGATATTCTCTTGGGTTGGCTGAGGAGGAGGTTGGGGAGTGAGAGTGATGGTAACTTTAGGAAGAGAGACGACTCTTCCATCATTGATGTAAAGATAAGGAAGGTTAGAGTCCAACACTCTCCGGCTCCCGTGCACTGATTCCCCTGATCTACACATCCAGTTCCAGTCTCTCTCCCGAGCATCAGTCCTACATCCCCCATTGCTTATTGGACATTTCCAGCCGGAAGCCCTAGAGACATCTCCAACTCTCAACTAGTCCAAAACGGACGCCATAATCTTACCCCCTAAACCCTCCTGTCTTCCAGACTTCCCATCCTCCCAGTCCTCCAGGTTGCTAACCTCACATGCCACCCTATTAGGGTCTGTTGCCTCATCTTGCCTCACACTCCATCTTGTCTTTGTGTTTTGGCACTGGCTGTCCCCCATACTTGGAATGCCCTCCTCCTTTCTCCTGTCTCCAAGTCCCTCCTTTCCTTCAAGCATGAAGCCTTTCCTGGCCATCTCTCCACCTCGTTGTGCACTGCCTCGCGCGAAACCACCTTGCTGTCTCTCCTTGTGTGGAGTAGAATATGAGCTCCTTCTGAGTAAGAATTGTTTCCTTCTTTGCATGCAGTGCCTGGTACAGAATAGGCTCATGAGAAATGCTTGTTTATTGGTTGACCGAGAGGTGGAGTTTATGGGTGAAGAACACTAGGAAGGCCAGGGGGCGAAGTGTCCATTGAGGCTGAAAGATAAATTGGAGCTGGGTTGTATGGGCTTTAAAGGCTAAACAGAGGGAGCCACTGGCCTTGGTCGAAGAGGGGAGTGACAGAATTAGATCTGAATTTAAGGAAAATCCCTTTGGCGGCAGTGGGGAGGAGGCGAAGAGACCAATGAGGAGGCTGCTGCAACAGTCGTGGAAGAGATGGCGAGGGCTTGAACTCAGGTGGTCACTGTGGGAGTGGAGAGAAGGGGTTGGATGTCAGAGATATGGGAGCAGAAATGGCACCTGATTAAATGTGGGGGATGATAGAGAGGCATCTAGAACATTGCTAAACTTGGGGGGGTGGCAATGCCTTCAGCAGAAATGGGGGTGTGTGTGTGTGTGTGTGTGTGTGTGTGTGTGTGTGTGTGTGTGTGTGTGTGTGTGTGTGTGTGTGTCTGGGAGTTGTCAGCATGGTGATGATAATTGAAGCCATGGGAATTGATGAAGTCCCCTGGAGCGAGTGGAGAAGAGGACCCAGGACACCCTTGCCAGACATCCACAGTAGGAGTGTGATGTAGGTAATAACTCAGCAGAAGACATGGAGGAGCAGTTATTTGTATCCTCAGAGCTTAGCCCCATGCCTGGCACATAGTAGGTGTTTAATAAGTGCTTGTTGAATGAATGAATGAATCAGTGAATGACCAAATATGACTTGACATAGGAGCAAGAGAATATGGGTTTGAATCTTATCTTTGATGCTTATTATCTCTGTCACCATGAGAAGGTCACCTTACTGCCCTGGGCCTCAGCCTCTTGCATTTTAACAGCAGAGGCTTGGAGTCCTTGGCGTCTGAGGTCCCTCCCAGCTCTGCAGTGATTGCGCCATGATACTTTCCCCTGCATTCCTCCTTCCCTGCTTTCTCAGCTCAGCTAGGTCCAGTGTGCTATATTGCCCCTCCAAGGTGGACATTCATTTGACCGAGGACCTCTTGAAATCCAGAATCTTCAGACCTTGAGAAATGAACCTTTCTTCTGTGGTGGGATTTTAGAAACAGTGTAGGTAGTAAACAAGAGAGTCCTTCCAGTCACAGCCTATCTCATGTAATTCATTCAGCAATCCCTGACACCATGGCTGCTGTCTTGTAGGCACTGCATGGGGGCTGGGGGGAGTCTGGTTCTTTCTTCCTGCCCCATTCTGCACCCCCTCCCCTCAGGGCCCCTGTGCTAGGCAGCCTCTGATCCAGTGCTGTTTCCCCAGGAGGAGTGGGGCCTGCTGGACCCCTCCCAGAAGGAGCTGTACTGGGACGTCATGCTGGAGAAGTATGGCAGTGTGGTCTCCCTGGGTAAGGATTGGTCTTACTCTTTGGGCTGTATTTGAGGACTGGGAGGTGGGGGAGCGGGTCGTCTGGAGGCTGGGTGGTGGGGGAGCGGATTGGGTGGAAGTTGCAGGATGTAAGGACACAAGGTGAGGGGGCGCAGGGGGGGTCAGAAGTAGATACCTTGGGCAGACTCCGTGTGACGGGGCCAGAGGGGAGGGCTGCAGCAGGATTTTCAGCGAGAATTATGAACTTGTGGCATAGAGAGGCCGGGGATGTTCAGCATATCTAGTTTATGACAGCCACGGTGGGGCTTGAACTCGGGTCTCGGCCTTCGCAGACCTGGAACCACTTGTGCGATGTCTGGATAGGCTTGAATGCTGGGCCAGGAGGAGGATGGACACTTGGTGACTGTCTGGCTTCTCCAATCCCCAGTTTTCATATCTGTAGTACTTGAATGCGTCAGTGCAGGGACCCCTTTCCCAGTGCGTGGCAGTCTCTCCTGGAGAGGTGGCAGCTGGCCTCTTTGGCCAGGGGCCATCCTTGGGTTTGTATCTCTCGGTGGGGCAGAGGTGGGCTTAGAGAGGGAGGGGCCAGAGGACCCCTGCCACTGAAGATGCCTTGGACATGCTGATTTGGGGGTGGCTGGTTGAGTGGTGTCCAAGACTGACTCGGGCTCCTGCTCCGCTCTGCCCTACCTGTGGGCAAGGTTAGTGTCATCCTTCTGAGGGGTTGTGAGGGGCATAGCATCATCTGCAGACCTCACTGCCTGCAGGGGCGTGGCCCTTCCATCTGCACTTCCCATGACAGCGGTGAGCCGCTCGGCCAGGCAGAAATCTGCCTGCTCTGTGCCTTGCCTCCCTTGGACCAAAGCCTCCTTCCGTGTAGGGCCTGGGAGACCCCTTGCTTGAGGAGTATCTCAGGCCAGTGCAAATGAGGAGCAGTTTCTCGTGTTCTCTGACCCTTTCAGTCAGCTGGTGTGCCTGGTGTGTTGACCATTGCCACCCTTTCTCCATCTCAGACCTTTCCCAAAGACAGCCTCAATCAGGCGTCGGTCCTGCCCATGAAAGGCCGACAGAAATGAAGACTGACGTGCCTCCTGTCTCCTCCCTGTGACTTTCCTCCAGATGCCCTGACATTCAGCGCCCCCATCCTCATTAAGTCAGGTCACTCATGCTTCCTCATGGTGGGCATGTTGGGGAACCTGGGCTCTTGGGCACTGTGCCCATGGATGGCTAGCAGCAAATTCTGACCCTGGTCACGTGTATTGTCCCAAGGACTAGCCTTGCTTAGTGGAGAGAGGCTCATCCCCACCAGGTTGGCCCAGAGAAGAGATCTGGGGGACCCGATGATGAGGACAAGCGCTTTCTTCAAGGCTCAATGAGACAGCTATTTGGAAGCAGGCACGGCCATAGAGGGCAGAACCAGGGGCATAATGAGGGAAGACACCAGGAAAAGATTCCTTTATGATGAGAGCTGTCCCAGAGTAGAAGAGGCTGCCTCCAGCGTCTTTAGGATCCTTTGGCACCCCACTTGACTGCCTGAGTGTCTGACATTAGGGATGAGGAGAGGTCAAAGGCCCATCAGAGTTAGGTGGGACTCCCATGTCCACAGCAAAGTCTGCCTCTCCATTGAAGGGATCTTGGGAGGATCTCAGCTGTGCCCCCCTGAATGCACACCATGTGCAGTGCATTATCCAGTGTTCCTCAGCTGTTCCTCGGTCACTGGCCTCTGCTGTCATGGTGGCTGGGCAATGGCTGCCTTGGTCTCGGGCTGCCATCATATCATTAACCAGGAGAATGAGGACAGTAAGTAACCCTGGCATCCATTGTCTCATGGGAGGCTCCTAATGGCCCCAGAAGAGGGAGGCGCCTCACGAGGCGGGATTTCAGATGCCCTTCTCACCCTCTCTCCCCATTTCTGTGGGATTGGCAATGAGCAGTGTCATTATCTCTTCCCCTATCCCTTTCTCATTTTTTGAGGAGGTCAACTTAGTCCTGCATCCTCTCCTCTTCATTTATATCCCTTACTCTAATTTGGTGTCAATTTTGACCTTTTCCTGCCCCCCACCTCCCATTGAAGCATATACTTCTTGAGGGCAGCAAGCATGTTTTTGTTTTTTTTTTTGGGTGAGGCAGTCAGAGTTAAGTGACTTCCCTGGGGTCACATAGTAAGTATCATGTGTCTTGAGGCTGAATTTGAACTCAGGTCCTCCTGGCTCCAGGGCCGGTGCTCTATCCACTGCATCACCTAGCTGCCCCTAGCAAGCACATTTTTTTTTTATGGTAATTTTTATTTTTTTTTTGTTTTCAACATTTACTTCCACAAGATTTTGAGTTCCAAATTTTCACCCTATCTCGCCCCTCCCCCCACCCCAAGATGGCATGCATTCTGAATACCGCTTCCCCTAGTCTGCCTTCCCTTCTATCTCTCCCCCCCCCCTTATCCCCTTCCCCTTCAATTTTCCTGTAGGGCAGGATAGATTTCTGTACCCCATTTCCTGTATTTCTTATTTCCCAGTTGCATGTGAAAACATTTTTTTTAAACATTTGATTTTAAAACTTTGGGTTCCAAATTTTCTCCCTTCCTCCCTCCCCACCCACCCTCATTGATAAGGAAAGCAACTAAATATAGGTTATATATGTGCAGTTATGTAAAACACTTCCGTAGTAGACATGCTATAAAAAACTAACTCTATTTCCCTTAATCCTATCCCCCCCATTTATTCTATTCTTTCTTTTGACCCTGACCCTCCTCAGAAGTATTTGCTTCTGATTACCCACTTTCCCAATCTGCCCTCCTCTCTATCATCCCCCTACTCCCTTGTCCCCTCCCCCCCATTTTCCTGTAGGGAAAGACAGATTTCCATACCCAATTGAGTGTGTATGTTATTCCCTCCTTAAGTCAAATTCTATGAGAGTAAGATTCACTCATTCCCTCTCACCTTCCCCCATTTCCCCTCCACTGTAAGAGCCTTTTCTTTTCTGTTTTTTTTTTGTGAGATAGTTTACCCTGTTCTAACTCTCCCTTTCTCCTTCTTCTAGTATAATCCTCTCTCACCCCTTAATTTTATTCTCCAGATATGACCCCTTCATTTTCAACATGCCCTCTATCTATCTATCTATCTATCTATCTATCTATCTATATCTCTATATATGTACATATAATTTTTTCCCCTCCAACTCCCCTAATACTGACAAAGGTCTCATGAGTTACAGATATCATCTTTCCATGCAGGAATGTAAACAATTCCACCTTAATAAGTTTCTTATGATTTCTCTTTCCTGTTTACCTCTTCATGTTCCACTTGAGTCTTGTATTTGAAAATCAAATTTTCTATTCAGCTCTGGTCTTTTCATCAAGAATGCTTGAAAGTCCTCTGTTTCACTGAATGACCATTTTTTCCCCTGCAGGTATACTCAGTTTTGCTGGGTAGGTGATTCTTGGTTGTAATACTATCTCCTTTGCCCTCTGGAATATTATATTCCATGCCCTGCGGTCCCTTAGTATAGAAGCAGCTAAATCTTGTGTTATCCTGATTGTGTTTCCACAATACTTGAATTGTTTCTTTCTGGCTGCTTGTAATATTTTCTCCTTGACCTGGGAACTCTGGAATTTGGCTGCAATATTCCTAGGAGTTTTCCTTTGGGGATCTCTTTCAGGTGGTGATTAGTGGATTCTTTCAATTTCTATTTTGCCCTCTTGTTCTAAAATATCAGGGCAGTTTTCCTGGATGATTTCTTGAAAGATGATGTCTAGGCTCTTTTTTTGATCATGGCTTTCAGATAATCCAATAATTTTTAAATTCTCTCTCCTGGATCTATTTTCCAGGTCAGTTGTTTTTCCAATGAGATATTTCACATTGTTCTCTAATTTTTCATTCTTTTGGGTTTGTTTTACAGTGTCTTGATTTCTCATAAAGTCACTAGCTTCCAATTGCACTATTCTAATTTTTAAGGAAGTATTTTATTCAGAAAGCTTTCGGACTTCCTTTTCCATTTGTCCAATTTTGCTTTTTAGGGCATTCTTCTCCTCATTGGCTTTTTGGACCTCTTTGCCATTTGGGTTAGGCTATTTTTTAAGGTGTTATTTTCTTCAGTATTTTTTTGGGTCTCCTTTAGCAAGCTGTTGACTTGTTTTTCATGATTTTCTTGCAAAACTCAGTTTTTCCTCTGCTTCTCTTACTTGCTTCTCAAAATCCCTTTTGCGCTCTTCCAAGGCCTGGGACTGATTCATATTCTTCTTGGAGGCTTTGGATGTAGGAGCTTTGGCTTTGTTGTCTTCTTCTGGTTGTATGTTTTCATCTTCTTTGTCACCAAAATAAGATAATATAGTCTGACTCTTTTTGCACTGTTTACTCATGATCCCGGCCAATTACTTGAGTTTTAAACTCTTTGTTAAGGGAAAAGTCTGTTTCCAATGTGGAGAATGTACTGTCCCAAGCTTTGGGGGTTTGTACAGCTATTTTCAGAGGTACTTCTAGGGACCTGTAAATTTTCAGTTCTTCCAAGGTAGTATAATAAGCGGTGAGGTGTTTCCTCTCCACCGCCACAACAAGCTCCACCAAACCAGTGCTCCTCCTCGCCCCAGGACCACCCCTCAGAACTGTGACCCAGATCCAAGCACGGGCAAAGCAAGAGATTCCAGCCTCAGCACTGGCAAAGAGATCCTTGCAATCCCCCTCTGATCAGCCACTCAATTCCCCCTCAGTCTGTGGTCCTGAAGCTCAGGAAACAGCTGCGGCCCCGGGGGTGGCTGAGATCTAGCTCCTTCTCTCACAACAGTCACAGACTTTTCCCACTGACCTTCTAAGTTGTCTTTGGCGTTTGTGAGTTGAGAAGTCTGGAAACCGCCACAGCTGCCCGCTATTCAGCCCTCTGAGGCCTGCTCCAGGGTCGCTGCGGCCTGCATGCCCATGCCGAACTGCGCTCCTCTCCCAGCCCGGTGCGATATACCTTTCTGATCAACCATCCAGGCTATCTTTGGCTGGAAATTTGCTTCACTCTGTCTTTTTGTGGGTTCTGCTGCTTTAGAATTTGTTTAGAGCCATTTTTTACAGGTATTTGGAGGGGTTTGGGGGAGAGCTCTAGCAAGTCACTGCTTTCCCTCCGCCATCTTGGCTCCGCTAGCAAGCACACTTTTGAAACCTTTCTTTGTATCCCCAGCACTTAATGGCATTCCTTACACATAATAATTAGTATTTGTGAATTGACTGACTGGTCAGATCTCCCCTCCTCCAGAGACGATTCTGAAACAACTCTGGTCTCACCACTCTGGTCTCCTGTCGGTCAGATGCAGTCCATTTCATTTTTTGTGATGTCCAGTGTCCAGTGCCCCAGCTCTCCTGAAGAAAGTACACATGATAGCTGGGCAGGTGGCTCCAGGAGTTGATCAGCCATTTCTGGGGCCTCCCCCTCTGGTGCCCTCAGGGCAGATAACAGGTGTGGAAGAGCTTTCCTAGCTGTTCACAGCTGGCTCTTATGCTGGCACCGGAGGCAATGAGGACCTTCCCTGGGGCACCTTCATCAGCCTTCACTGCCTGGGGAACCTGTGAGCCAAGCTTGTCTCTATCCTTCTGGTTCCTGGTTTTACTTGTGCAAAGAAAGCCGAGATTGCTGTGTACCCAATCCTTCAACCCTCTTCTAAATTTAGACAAGGAATGCATGGCTAAATTACTGTTTATCGGAAACCTGGATACTCAGTTCCTGGCACCCTTAGGTCCCCTTTAGAAAAATGTTATAGACTAGCAACGCATCTCCAGCATTTGCCTACACAAGAGAAAAACACCACCAGAAGAAACAGTTGAATGTGAAACCCTGAATAAATTACTTTAAACTTGTTTTTTAAAATCTGTATTAAATTTAACATGGTAGTACAAACGTTGCCCTACTAGGCTGTGTCCCTTTCAGAAATTCTATTTTTAAACACTTCATTGACCCTTGGTTCTCCTTTTTTTCCATCCCTACCACCATCTTAACTCATGGCCCAGGTGACCTTTGGACAGGGCCCTTCCCTACTGTCATACTCTCCTCCCTGGACGTTGCTCCCTCAAAGTCTGTGGCCTGGAGCATCGTCTCTCTCCATCCCTTCATGGGAGGGCCTTCAGACATTCTGTCCCGTAGCTTCCCCTTGTCTCTGAGGCAGCTTAGGAGCGGTCGCCATGTCAGCGGTCCACGTGGCTTCTGGCCTTCACTTCCCTTGGCCCCTGTTCTCATTGAGGTCGCTGCCCAGTCCGTCCGTTCACACAGCTGCCACGGATCTGAAGTCACCTACCATTGACTCCCTGTCACCTCCCGGCCAACCCCACTTTTCTAGTCCATCTTGTTTCCTGTCACCTCTACACCCACTCTCTGAACTGTCTGCGTGGTTTCCCGGTCACCTCTAAGTGCTGTTCCCTCTCCCACCTCCTTGCCTTTGTATAAGCTGTGCCTCACGGCTGGCACGCGTGCCCTCCCCGCTCCCTTCCTAAGCCTCCTTTGTACCCTCTGCTTCTACTGACTCATCTCCTGGGTGGAGAGAAGTTCCTTGAGGGCACAGGAGTCTTCACTCTTGTCTTTGTCTCCCCTGCACTGAGCACATAGTAAGTGCTTCATAAATATTGACTGGAATCACTGTTGACTGGTGTACTCCTGAACTTTGAGCTGGTGTGATGGGGGTCCAGAAATGTGAGTGGTTATTTTGTGGTGGTCAGGTGGGACGGGACTGAGGCGGAGATCAAGTGGCCACCAGGTTACAAAGGATGAATGAGCGGATGGAACATTTATTGGGAACTAGGTGGCCCTGGGGATGGGGACTGCACCTGGAGACAGGAAGACCTGAGTTCAAATCTGGCTTCAGGGACTTACTAGCTGTGTGAGACCCTGGGCAAGTCACTGAACCTCTGCCTCAGTTTCCTCAACTGTAAAATAGGGTAATAACAGCACCTACTTCCCAGTGTTGTTGGGGATCAAATGCAATCATATTTGCAAAGTGTTTAGCACAATGCCTGGCACATAGTAGGTGCGCAATAAATGATTATTTCCTTCCTTTATTAGGCTCCTTATGTGCCAGGTGCTGTACTAAGTCCCTACTTAGGGGGTAGGGGACCAGGAAGCAGCTAGAAGCCACATGGGTAGGGCTGGCACATCCCTCTGGGAGCCGGGGTTATAGCAGTTGTTCCTGGCACGTGATGTCTTGGTCGAGCGACGCCCAGCCTTGGACTCTGGAAGCCCTAGGTCTAAGCTCTTTCTTAGTAGCTGTGTGATTGTCCACCAGCCGGTCCCTTGGCCTTTCCATGGCTCAGACAGAGGCTACCTGCCTCGTGGGGCAAAGCCTAGGTTATTCCATGCTCCAGTGGTCGATTATTGTTAATTACCATTCCTTCCTATGACTGCTGTGGATGAGCTGATCACTTCCTCTCTGTGACAGGAATCCCTGCCCCCAAACCAGATGCCAAGGCCCTGATGGAGCGCGGGGAGGAGCTGTGGGGACCCGGACCATGCTCAGCAGCTGAGGACAAGGCGCAGCCCAAAGGCGTTGGCCCTCCAGGTGGGCACCTGAGAAAGGCCTCGCCTAGGCAACTGGAGTCAGGACAGCGGGTTCTCCCCTGTAGCCCTGCCCGCCTTGGGTGGGGCCCCCAGCTCCCTGTCCCCTCCCACAGGCTCTAAGGGAAAGGAAACACCTGGGCTTGACCAATTATGGGCAGGTTTGAGTGGACGGCCTGGACCGTCTGTGGAGGAGGCTGGAGCAGTGGGCGCACCTTCCAGGAGGCCGCCATCCGGGCCCCCCAGCCCTGGCCGGGATGCTTTGCTGCCCCTTCCCGGGTTTCCTGAATCTTCTAGAGAATATGGGGCAGTGCCGTGGTCAGCATTCCCAGGGCTTCCGCTTCACTCCCTACATTCCCACTTCCCTTTTGTTGGGGACTGGGGTAGGACTGTTCCCTCCTTCTGTGCCGGTCCCTAAAGCCTTTCCCTTTCCGTAGGAGGCAGGAGGCAGAACCACAAGGAGTCCCCTGCCAGGGATGGTTCAAGGTCCCAGGCATCTCAGCATCCGCCTCCCCGACAAGCCCAGGGAGACGGGCCAAGTCCGGGGGCCGGGAAAGGTCTTTGGTCCGCCACAGAGCCAGGAAGCCCTGGAAGGAAAAGAAAGGCCCCCTCGGTGGCCTGGGAAAGCCCTCCGGGCAGAGCCGGCGGCGGTCTGCTGCCCGGGGGAGTGGCCTCCGCGTGGATGGAGAGGGACAGAGGCTGCTTTCCACAAGGCGCGCTGAACTCGCTCCCAGCCTCGAGAGACAAACCCTATGTCTGTGACGAGTGTGGCAAAGGCTTCGACTGGAAGTCCGTGTTTGTCATTCATCAGAGATCGCACACGGGTCCGGCCGCCAGTCAGCCCGAGGAGAGGAGGGAGCCCCGGGACCCGCGGGACCCGAGGGCCAAGCCGCGGGCGGCCCCGGGAGAAAAGCCCTACCGCTGCAGCGAGTGTGGGAAGGGCTTCCGGGAGCTGTCCACGCTGCGCAATCATCGCCGAAGCCACACAGGCGAGAAGCATTACCAGTGCCAGGAGTGCGGGAAATCTTTCAACTGGAAGTCCCAGCTGGTCATTCACAAGAAGGCCCACGTGGGCGAAAAGCAGCACACGTGCGTGGAGTGTGGGGAGAGCTTTGACTGGAAGTCCCAGCTGGTCATTCACAAAAAGGCCCACAGGAGGGACGCTCCGTAGGCAGAGTACCCGAGAGGGCAGCTCACCGTGCTGGGCTCCGTGGGGCTCCAAGCCCAGATCTCTGAACTGCCCCTCGCCAGGCCTGGCCACTGGGACAAGGGACCTCCTTGTCTGCTCTGTCGGGACTCCTTAGCCGTAGTGCCCTAGGGGAGGAAGGGGCCCTAACGCCCCTCCTCCAGAGACGCTAATCTGGGGAATAAACTCCATTAGCACTTCTTGGAACACGTGTATGTTATTTCTCTTGGCTTCTCCCCTTCCCTTTCCCCTCCCCACCCCCAAGCTTCCCACTTGCAGAGTAAGGACCAGTGTCAGGGACTGGGACCGGGGCTAATCAGATGAGCCACATCATAAAGCCTAGATGGCTGAGGGAGCCTGCAATGGCGACAGGCCCAGGGAGACAAGGGAACGGAAGGAGGTAGGCCCGACCCCACTGCCCTCCACAACAGGGCTGGGCCAGACTGGGAAGAGGACCCACCCCAGGCCTGAGCCCAGCAGAGGGTGGGGGGCCCCACAGCCCCAGAACCGATTCCCCCAGCAAGGTCCCATCTACCATTCCTGCTGTGGGGGAACGCCTAGTGCTCACTCTAGATATCAAACGTCAACAAACGTCAACAAATGCACAGTCAAGGGACAAAGAAGAGGAAATTGAAGCTCAGGTTGGTGTTTTCCAAGGCACAGTTAGTTTCAAGGCTGTCCTGTGTGTCTGTATCTCCCTCCAAACTTCTGCTGTTCTCTGGTGCCTTGAAAAAGGCTTCCATGCTTCTTTCCCCCATCCTTTCCTTTCCCCTATCCTTTCCTTTCCCCTCTCTCCTCTGCTTTTCTCCCTTTTCTTTCTTTGCTTTTTTCTTTTTTCTTTTCTTTTCTCCTTTTGCTTTCTTCTTTTTATCTCCTTTTCCTTTCTTTGCTTTTCCTTTCCTCCTTTTCCTTTCCTTTCTTTTTTCTTTCCTTTTCTCCTTCCCCTTTTTTCTTTGCTTTCTTTTCTTTTCCCTTCTTTCTTCCCTTTCCTTTTCACCTCTTTCCTTTATTTCCCCCCTCTCTTTTCCTTTTCTTCCTTTCTTTTCCTTCTTTTCCTTTCTTTACTTTTCCTTTCACTTTCCTTTCCTTTCCCTTTCTTTTTCCTTTCTTTTTCTTTCTTTTCCCATCACTATCCATAGCCCAACTTTCCTCTAGTTCTCTCTCACACACAGGAAGACAAAATTAAATTAAGAAACATCGGCTGGTGACAAATACCCGACTGCACCTAAGGTGCTCCCCTCCTCTCAGCTCCTCCACTCCATTCCCTCCCTGGCAGCAGCAGGGTAGTGTGCTCCATCCTTAGGCCACATCAGGGTGGCTCACCACAATGTTGTGAGGTTTTGGGAGCAGGCAGGGTGTCTGCCTTTCTGACTCTGCTCACATCACTCCTGAATTCTCTTTTGTCAGGATATCATCACTCACAGACCAGTCATCCTGACCCATGTCTTGCCACTGGACCCTGATGACTCTGGAGGAGAAAGTGAGGCTGATGACATTGCACAGTCCTGCCTCATTTAAATCCAACTCACTTGCAGGTCAAGACATCACCCTCCTGATGTCTCTGGTCCTCTTTGAGATGAAGGACAAACAGCAAACACCCAGAGATACACACTTTGTCTGTTACACTTTTATTCTCTGTTTCATAGAGACACTCTGTGGGCACTGAAAACATCACATCTAAATTCACTGAGAATATTCTACATATCATCCTTTCATTCTCTTCCTTCTGTGAACCTTTCCTGTCTGCATATCATCCCTACGTTTTCTATGATTAATTCACACAGCCTCAGTCCTAACTTCCTAAGAGATCACCTTCATTCAATCTCCCCTCTCTTGGTGGCCCACCACAGAGCAAACAGCTTCCTAGAACAAATGACACTCACTGTCTTATTAAAAAATGTTCAGTAGCTACCTATTGCCCCTTGAATTTTTTTCTTTCTTTTTTGGTAAAGACGAAGATTGAAGATTAGTGTTAATGATAGTTGGGGTGGGGGAGGGATAACCTGGAAAAGATAGGATGTGATGGGATATAGTATGTAGATGGAGATTTCAGCCTTAGTCAAGAGTCAGACCACCTCATCATGGGAGATGGGGGAAGGAGGAGAGGGGCAGAAGGGACCTGAGTGATGGGAGATGAGCAAGAGGGGAGGAGAGGGAGCCCTTGGTGAATGACCTGATTTTTTTTTTTCTGTAAAATAGGAGGCAGAGTCTCAGCTTAGAGAGTTGGAGGAAGAGGAGGTTTGGAAGAGCTATTGAGGAGAGTGGGAGAGTGAGCTGAAGAGGAAGATACAGTAGGATTGCCTGGCAGCAATGAGGGCCCAGTGGGGGTGTGTCACATAAACTTGTAGTGGACCCAGTCAGAGTGTGATTTTCCCCACCTTCATGAGGCAGGTTGTAGACAATGGCTATCAGAATGTTGATTGGGTGTCAGATACAAATTGAGTGAATATCAGAGGAGGAGAGACTGGATGTGGGCGTGGGGAACAAGGAGAATTCCAGCTCCCTCACTTGGACCAGAGACTGTGGGGAGGGAGAGACAGAGGAAGAGGGGAGCCATGGAGAGCCCAAAGAGGGAGGGACTGAAAAGAAAAAGTTTTCAGATGAAAGCAAGTTTGTTACCTACAGAATAGTCAACAAGCATGTATTAAGCATTGCTCTCTGCCAACCACTGCTGGGCGCACAAAGAAAGGCCAAGGGCAGTGCCTGCCCTCAAGAAGCTCACGGTCTAGAGGAGGAGACAACATGCCAATAACGAGGTACAAACAGGCTACAGATGGGATGAGTAAAGGGCGGGGACTAGCATTGAGAGAATCGGGAAAGGCTTCCAACAGAAGGTGAAATTTTAGCTGGAGAGAAAAGCCCAGAGGCAGAGATGAGGAGGGAGGGCTTTCTAGGCAAGGAACAGTCAATGAAAATGCCCCAGAGTTGAGAGATAGGTTGCCTTGTGTCAAGATACTAGTAGGAGACACGCTGATTTTTTTTAACGACCAACTGTGCTTTAATGAGCACATAGAACCAATCAGTTCTCCTTAACAAACAACATTTAGGATTAAGGTAAGAATGGGTTCTTCTTGAGCCTTTCTTTATGTTCCCACTTAGCTGAATTAGCCACAACCATCTATTTGTCTTGGTGTGTTTGTCTTTCTAACGAGGCATTTTCTAAGAATGCTGCTTCCAGGGCAGAATGTGATAGGAAGGAAGAAACTGATTCTTCCAGGGCTACCCACAGGCCTGTGAAGGTCCCCAGACTTTGTTCCTATCATCTCTCCTCGGTGATTGTTTTCAATATAAAAGTTCAGATGATAAGAAGTCATCTTACTGAAGGAGCTGCTGCTCAAGCCAGGCTGAGGAGCAGCTGGGACTCATAGAAAGATCTTGGTTTGTTTCTTCAATGGATATTCCCAGTTTGCCAGGAATCTGGAGTCATGAGCCACAGTCTCTCCAGGTCCAATCCCTGTTTCTGGATAGGCCCATTTCTGAGCTGGAAAAGTGAAAGGGGCAGGCTGATGTAGGCCAGGCACTCCTACAGAGGAACGGAAGGCTTGAAATCCTACAGTTCCTGTTTCTCTGGCTGAACTTCTGACACCTTATTAATCTTGACAAACATCTGATTGGTTTCCATAAATGTTTTAGCCTTGGTCTCTGGGATGATGAAGTACATGTAAATTGAAGTAAGGAGACATATCACACCAGAGATGACTAAGCTGTAGGCACCAAGACCTTCCTGAATGGAAGATCAGTCCCAAGGTGAAGTTGGAGAACCAGTGGACAGCGCTTCTGGCCATGAATGCAGCTGGCCTGGAGGACTGTGGGAGGACTTCAGTGATAATCAGTGAAAGAATGGGACCAGGCCCAATAGCACGGCCCATAACGTAGGAGATCACACAAGCGGTGATGACACAGAGCATCCCAGCCATGGTGACCTGCAGTGAAAGGGCTGCTGTTATCAGGCTACATGCCAGGCAGCAGACACTGAAGTCCGTTAGGATGAGTGGCCTCCTCCCCAAGAGCTCCATGGTGGACTGTCCTGGCCTCATCCCACTGCCAGCACCTGTCCTGTCCCTGCTGGGAAATCCTGGACATTGTGGTCATACACTCCTACTCCCTAGATCTAGTCTGCATAGTAACAGACCGAATTGATTCCTGGGCGTGACTGGCCAACCTTTAAGACGATCATTGAAATGAGCTGCCAGCTGAGGGACTTTGTGGAGAAGAGTGTCAGCACAGACACCTGGCAGCAGCCTTCTCCATCTCATCCTCCAAACGGCCCTCCTCCACCTCAGCCTCAACATAATCAGTTTTTCAGTTTCTTTAGAGCTTTTCTGGCTCCTTCCTCATCTCCCTTCTGAAGTAAGGTGTACCAGGGACTCTCTGGGGAGAAGGGCAGCAGAGCAGCTGCAGAGCTGTGGGGATCCCAGTCGGCCCAAGGAGAATTGGCCACACGCCATCTCTTTTTTTTTTTTGGCTGGGCAATGGGGTTAAGTGACTTGCCCAGGGTCACACAGCTAGTAAGTGTCAAGTGTTTGGTCTGAGGCCGGATTTGAACTCCGGTCCTTCTGACTCCAGGGCTGGTGCTGTATCCACAGCACCACCTAGCAGCCCCCACCCTCCATCTCTTACAAGAATGTCTTGTTTCCTTCAAGACTTTCAACCTCTGCAGGAGACCAGCCCTGCAGAGTGTGTGTTACTGTGTGTTACTGTTTTGTTCATGAGAACAAACCCCAAACCTGAAATAATGAGGTTGTTTGGGACAGAGGGCAGGAGGGAGAAAGAGGGTAGAGGGAGCACGCACTGGACAAAACCTTCCCTCAGGTTCTGATAAAGGTTTACATTGTATATATTGCATGAGCCACACATGAATTACCTGAAGGGAGCCCCAAACACAAGCTTTGGTGGATCCCGAACAAGAATGTTCTGGGTGGATCTGCGTGAACCCAAAATTCCACCTCCAGTATTCCTGGAGAGTTATTAGGATCAGGATGACATTTTGGGTGAAAAGTCTCTACTTAGATTTAAACAGTATCAATGCGTTTTCCAAACTATAAAAACTTACCTGGAACAACCAGGAGGCCAGTGTCATTAGATCAAAGAGCACGTGTTGGGGAGTGAGGTGTGAAAAGTTTATAAATCTGAGGGGGCAGGTTATAAAGAGCTTTGAATGCCAAACAGAGCATTTTGAATTTGAACCTGGAGGTGATAGGGAGCCA